TATGAAGTAATAAATTAAAACTATTACAATTAGTGACCCCTGATTGTGGATAAGACCATGCTAGATGATGCAGAGGGTATGAAGATGAGTAAGATGTTCATGCTGACACTGGGGAGTTCCTCAGTTTAAAATAGATACATATTTTTCATAAATAAACAGAAATAAATATGATATACTAAATAGAAAATTACAAATATCACAGGAAAGACAGAAGTTGTAAAAAGTTTTAAAGATGAGCAATATTTGCTTCTAACAAAATACAGGGTTTTGTTTTGTTGTGTTTTTTTAGAAAAGAAGCCAGGTAAAAAGGGTTGTAAAAGATGGGTAGGATGTGATACAAGGTGGATTGAAAAGAAGGGAGAAGCGAAGAATTTAGACTCAAAGAAGCAGAGGTGAGGAAACCTGAGATATGTACCCTATGTTTCAAGAAAAACAAAACTATATAGAGAACCAGGGGAGATACAACTGGGTAGCTAGACCATCAGTTATATTTTTACAAATTTCTCTTCATCATTCTCTGACTGACACTTGGCTTTGCCTTGGGGACTTGACACTGTGGCTCTTCCAAGCGGTGCCTGTGTTCTATCCTGTGCAGCTCTGGCCAGGAGGAACGGTAGGTGTCCTCTTTGAGCCTTACCACCCCAGACCATTCCTATTCCTTTTTAAAAATCAATCATCTCTAAATTTCAGGTCACTAAATTGTATTGTCTACTATCCTCCTTGTTGTCACCGATCTCTGGGTCAGGGATCCTGGCTCCTTGTCATTCTCTCCATCATCACGGTTGTAAAAATTCTTGGTGATTTCAAAATTTACGTTGACAAAATCTTCTACTACGTGGTCTTGATGTCTTTTCTCCCGATGATTTTCACCTCCTGCCACTCCCTATGCCTCCAAGAGCATTTAGAAATGTGTGTATGGGGGTACTTTTTGGTCATCATTCTGAATGGGAAGTAATTATGGTATTTTGTGTGTGTGGGTCAGGTTTGATACATATCCTGAAAAATAGTTCTGCATACTCGAACAGTATTCCTACTGAAAAATATTTATACTCTAGCTGGATTCTACTCAGACACTAAAACTTTCCAGGCCAATAAACCTATCACCCTCCATTATTTCACCCTCCCTCACATTCTTTCTTAACTATCTTAGATTCTGTGTCCCATTAATATAATCATCATCTTGTGCCTTTCTTGCTTAATAATACATAAGACAAAATCCTAACCCTAGCTAACCAAATTCTCCATGCCTGTACCACTACAGCGGCAAAGTAGTAGGAAACAAACATACAACCACATCAACTGGTTTAATTTTAATTTCAGTATTCCTAACCCAAGTAGGGTATTAGAGCTGCTTGGCAATTAAACCACATTTTCCTAGTCTATACACTTTCTTAGACCTTTGTTTCTCAAAGTGTGATCCACAGGCTAAGCATCACCTGTGAATTTAATAGAAATGCGGAACTTTAGGTTCTACTCTAAACCTTCATTTATCAGAACAAGCACCATAAACAACAATATCTCCAAGTGATTCTTAGGCCCATTAAAGTTTGTAAAGTACTACCTAGAAAACTGCTTCACACCTTTTCCTATTCTTAGATCACCAACACTTCCCCTTCCTTCCTCACTCTCTACTGGTGGTTTATTTCACTGAAAAAACAGCAGCAAACAAAGGGCACCTTCTAGAAACTTCTTGCATGTCATCTATTCACCTGCCCATATCCATGTCCATATACTCAGTCTTCCCTGTTACCAAAGGTTAACTATTGGTTCCACAACTGAATCAAGTCCCCAATCTGTACACCAGATCCTATTTATCTCTTCTCATGTACTCAAGAACAATGACCCTGTAATTCATTCCCTCACCTTGAATTACTATTTTTCCCAGCTTCAATAGATTTAGCTGCACACATGCTCTGCCTCTCCCACCTTAAAATGAAAAACAAAAACAAACAAACATCCTACCATGGTCTCTTCACCCCATGCCCAGCACCACTGTTTCAGAGTTATCATCATTACCAACTATTTCCAATTATTTCCCCACCATTCTCCTAAACCAGTGATGGCGAACCTTTTGAGCTCAGCGCGTCAGCATTTTGAAAAACCCTAACTTAACTCTGGTGCTGTGTCACATATAGAATTTTTTTGATATCTGCAACCATAGTAAGAAAAAGACTTATATTTTTGATATTTATTTTATATATTTAAATGCCATTTAACAAAAAAAATGAGTTCACGTGTCACCTCTGACACGCATGTCATAGGTTCGCCATCACTGTCCTAAACTCACTTCTATCAGGCTTTTGCATCTACTACTCTACCAACAACTCCAGTATGTTTTTAAAAAATTCCATTTTTTGGTGTCGTCTTCAATGTTTTTAAATGTCTTCCAGTTATCAGTGTATAGGTCCTCCGCACCCTTTGCTAGGTTTGTTCTGAGGTATTTCATTCTTTTTGTTGGAATTGCAAAATAAATTTTTTTTTTTTCTTTTCTGAAATTTCATAGGTAGTATATAGGAATGCAATGAATTTTTGTGCATTGATTTTGTATCCTGCAGCCTTACTGTATTTGTTTATTGTTTCTAATAGTTTTTTAGTGGAGTCTTTAGGGTTTTCTATATAAAGAATCATGTATGCAAAAAGCGACAATTTTATTTCTTCATTCCAATTTGGATGCCTTTTCTTTCTCTTGCCTGATTGCTCTGCTTGGATTTATGGTACTATGCTAAATAACAGTGATAAGAATGAATTTCCTTGTCTTGTTCCTAATCTTGCAGGAAAAGCTTTTGTTTCTCACCACTGAGTATGATAATGGTTTAGGGTTTGTCATATATGGCCTTTATTATGTGGTACTTTCCTTCTATACCTATGTTGGAGGGGTTGTGGGGGGAAAGGAACCCTCATTCACTAGGAATGTAAACTGGTTCAGACACTACAAAAACAGGATGGAGGTACCTCAAGAAATTAACACTATAACTACTATATGACCCAGCAACCCCTTTTTTTGTGTATCTTCTGAAAAATGTGAAAACATTTATTTCTAAAGTTATATACATCCCTATGTTCACTGCAACATTATTCATGATGGTCAAGACATGGAAATAAAGTGTCCCTCAGTAAATGATTGGATAAAGATGCGGTACATATACACAGTGGAATACTACTCAATCATTTGCCATTTGCAACAACATCAATGGATCTTGAGTGTATCATACCAAGCAAAATAAGTCAGGCAGAAAAAGTCAAGAGTCATATGAATTCACTTATATGTGAGATATAAAACTGAGAGCAACAAACCATCTTTTTCTTAGGGTTGTCTTACTGTCCAATGTGTAAAAGAAAATCAAAACTGAAAGCAACACATGAACATGACAAACAAACACTCATAAACAGAGACAACAGTATAGTGGTTGTCAGAGGGAAGGGAGGGGAGGTAATAATGATGTCAAATATTCGGTGACGGAAGGAGATTTGGCTTTGGGTAGTAAATACACAATGCAACATGCAAATGATATAGAAATATACACTTGAAACCTATACAATTTTATTAACCAATGTCATCATAATAAATTTAATAATAAAAATTCCTTAAATATCTTATGTATTTCTAACAAAATAAGCCAGTATTAAACACTGGTAGTATTCCAATCACGGGAAATAAAGATTGAAAATAAACTCGACTCTATTTTCCTCAAACACAACCGAGCTTTTAAAAAGAAAATAAACTATTCAAATCATTTTATTAATAATGCTTACCTGGCTGAACATGGGTAGCCTGTAGAAAGTATTTCAAAGCTCTCTCAAAGTTCTTTTCATTTTCCAGAGCATGACCCACATTATTCCATAATTTGGCATTATTTTTATTTACCTTAAACATACAAATACAGTTAGAAATTAATTACAATTAAAATATGACTCCAATTAACACAGCTATTTGTTTGATATACTATTAGAAATGGAGCAGTCCATGGAGATGTCCATAAATGGGTGAAAGTGGTCCAAAGGTACATACTTCAAATTATAAGGTAAGTTAGTTTGGGGGATGTAATGTCCAACATGGAGACTATAGCCAACAATTCTGTGATGTATATTTGGAAATTGGTAAGAGAGAAGATCTTAAAGGTTTTCAAGAAGAGGAAAAAAAATGTGCAAATGTGTAAGATGATATATATTAACTAAACTTTTAATCATTTCATAATATATACATGTCATATATCTTAAAAAGTTTATGTCAATTATATCTCAATTAAACAGGAAAAAAAATCATTTTGATTTTCTCCCAGAAAAAAAATTAATGACTTCAATTAACAAAGATATTCATTTAGCAGTGTTCCACTGAGATGCCCTGGAAATGAGGAAGAAGCCAATGAACACTTCTTCACTCAATTTACCCTCTCTCTCCTTTCAACATCAACATACTAAAACCACAACAGTTTAAGTTCATCTACTTTATATATTAGAATTTTACTAAAAATTTTATTTAATCAAAGCATAGCGCTATTTGAAAACTCTACTACTTGTATTCTTTTGGAAGAAGAGGTATTTGACTATGAGAATACATTTAAACATTGCACTCATTACTTACTTTAAGGCTGGACTTACTTATGTAGTCTATTATTGAAAGGAAAGCCCGAGACTAAAGTTCTAAGTGATCTGTACTTTCAGAGTTTACAGATGGGCATGGTGTTACTGCAGGTAGAGGAGGGTATCTAGCTAGCCAAGGTATTAGCTACAGTGATTGAGGCTGTCGTTTTGAGCACTGTCCTGTGAGTAAAGACAAGCAAAGTTCCTGAAAACCATAGGGCTCCACTGGTAATCTGAAAAGGGAATTAATAATAATGGAAATGAGGTCTCATCTGTTTGCAGATTTCTGAGCTAGGGGAAACAGTAGAGTTACTAAGCAGTAAAGAGGACAGTCATTTGACCTTAAATAGATGTCAAGTCAAGAAATGAGGTAGTGATCCAATAAAGTTAGGCAATGGAGAGTACTAAAATAGCCAAAAGGAAGTTAAGAATTTACTGATTTGAAGAGAGGCATTGGCAAGGGAGCACCTGAAAAAAAAATTTTTGCTTGTAACTTTTATAGAAAACAAATTTTATGATTTTTTTAAAAGACCTTATCTGAAAGAAGGCAAAAGCTGCCGAGGTAATAAAAGCTTAAGAGGGCGGGGGAAAAAAAACACCCCCCCCCCAAAAAAAACCCTTATCCTATTTATATTGTTCATCCATAGGAATGCTGTATCAATCCTTTCTGCTAGTTCCTATCCTTCCTATAGGATTTTTAAAAATTTATCTTTATTGTTAGAAGTATTACAGATGTTTTAACCATTGGTTGGTTATCTTCCACATAGTAGGCTGCCATTTTTTTGGTCATGTATGTTATTTCATTGAATGTAACACGGCATCAATTTTATGTACCATTAAGAAAGAAACAAGGTAACAAATTAATTTTAAGATACCTTTCACTATAAGATTTATTCTAATTTCAGGTATTAAAAGGTTAAAAAATGTGTACCTTAAGAACCAATGAACACAGCATTCTTATTTAAACATGTCTCATTTGAGTTTCTAATGACTGTATAGTATTTAAGGAATTATTCATATGTGTTGTGGACATACAGGTCAGTACTATTCAATGCACTGGTTAAGGTATATTATACAAAAAACAAACTATATATTTTTTTAGTGAAGTAATTAATATTGATAGTTAAATGTCTAATTAAAAGTAAAGGTAAAGCATCTTAAGACATGGCTATAAAAAGTAATAGACGACATACTTTCCTGTCATTCTTGGATAATACTTTACCTTCAAGGCTGACATAAACAAGGTATATTCAGACTCCCAATCCCAATTTCTGTGGATTGTTTTTAAGGCATGAGTGAATACCACCAAAGACAGACAAACCCAGGATAACTTTTTAAATACACTGTTTAAGAGAATAAAAGAAAAAAACAAGAAAAATTCTTATCACCCAAAGCATTTTATCTTTTAGAACAGAAGAAATATGTTAAATATCCCCAATGTCACGTCTGAATTTATTCTAAGAATAGAAATTGTTCTAATAATCATCCTACTTCAGAGGCACCAATGCCAAAAACTTAAATAGCTGAATACTACCTTCCACTTGACTTTTCAATTACATTAAATACTCCAATATTTACCTCTATTTCTAAAGCATTGTTTAGATTTAATAAAAAGTTGATGAAATCAGCTTTTAATTATGAATTTTTATATTTAGAGTCCTTTGTACCATTACCTACAACATGAATATTCTTACTTGCATTTTAAAAGGGTGAATCTTATCACTGGCTATATTTAAAAACATTTCTGCTTACAATTAATATACCATAGGTTATCATGACATTCTTGGAATAATTTTACATTTTAAAACTAGAACTGTTTATTAAAAGTCATAGTAAACTTAACTCTTTATAAAATAGATGAACATTACTTATATACTTTAGGCTAATTATTTGGGACTCAATTCCTCTATAAAAAAGATGATTATACTTCAATAATCCCTATGATCTCATTTAGTACTAATGTTCTTTAACTCTGTGTTTTTGCCCTGGTAACACAGTTCAATTTATTTCATTTTGATAGACACACTTAACCAGAATATGAGTGCATGCATCAGAAAGAACATGGAATAGGAAATAGTCAGATGTACATTTGAAGACTCTGCTATTTACTAGCTGTGTGATCCTGCATAAGACAGGTAACCTGTATGATCTTTAATTTTAAATATGTGCAAAACAGAATTAAGGAGTATCAAGAATGAAATGAGAAAATAAATCCAAACAGTCTATCAGGGCATCTGATACATGGTAGGCACTAAAAAATTGATATTGATTATAATAGGATATATGGGTCAAAGCTAAGAGAAAAGGTTTGGTAGATAGTAATGAAAATTGTAGACACAGAAGAGATCATACAGGGAAAATATGCAGTGTGAAAAAAATGGCTACAGTAAAACTCCGAGAAATAATAAATATTTAGAGTAGGCAGAGGAAGAAGAAATCAGAGAAAAGAGAGAGCAGAAATAAAAAGATATAAAAGAGAATTAAGAGAGAAAGACTTTTTACAGATGCCTGGGAAATACATTTTAAATACAAGCACTGACCAAATTTAGCTACCAGGAGGCAATTTATTATCTGTGTTAGTAGATGATACAGAGAGAAGTCAGAATTCTATGTGCTGAATGGTGACTGGAAGTGAGAAAGAAGAGAGAGTGCTCATTTCTTGTATACATACAGTTAACTATTCTGTTCCTTAACTGTTAGTTTAAGGCAATTAGGACATGGTGGTTATGAAGATAGTAATGACAGCATGAAATTGTAGCACTCACAGCTGTGAGTACACAAAACAGAGTTTATTCCAGTATTATTTATTGTTATATTATTTTCCATGTGAACAATTGTAAACCTACTTTTTATATATACTGTACATTTTATATATGACTCACTTAAGTAAGAAGATTATATTTTAGTTCATTGCATATAAAGTGGCAATGGTCATTTTTAACTTTAGTTTCAATAATATCCTTGTTTTCATTTGGGTCTGACTCAAAGTTTGTGTCTCAGCCTGCAAAATAAAATTATATCAATATGGAGAACATAAGATGCAGTAGTGCTATGGAGCTTTCCTAACTTGAATTACACAAAAATGAGACTATCAAGATGAAAAATAGAAATGTATGAAAGTATGACTTATAAAACTGAATTAAAATAAACTTATTTAAATGTATCACATTTGATTTTATAGTTAGTCACATGAAATAAATTAATATTTAAATTCACCTTTTGTTTGATATTTTGTGCCATCCATGGGCTACCAAAATACAGAATCCCATGCTAGGAACATATAATACTCGTTCAGCAACAACAAATCCAACTGGAAAAAAAAGGTTCGATGCAGGAATAAATGGTAATGCCATTAAACAAAGCGCCTACAAAGAAAAAGAAGATATTTTATTAAATTAAACATATATGAACACTCAAGAGTCAAATCCAAATATTTTGTCATTTAATTTGGAAATGTACTGGTGGTCAAAAAAAACCCAACTATTTTTAAAAGCCAGTTTTTATGTTATTACTAGAGGCCAGGTGCACAAAATTTGTGCAGGGGGGTGGGGGGTGGATTTCCCCCTCAGCCCAGCCTGCTCCCTCTCCAATCCAGGACCCCTTGGGTGATGTCCAACTGCCGGTTTATATCCTCAGGACCAGCAGTCGGACATCCCTCTCACAATGCGGGACCACTGGCTCCTAACTGCTCACCTGCCTGCCTGCCTGATCGCCCCTAACTGCCCCCTCCCCCTGCTGGCCTAGTCGCCCCCAACTGCACTCCTGCTGGCCTGGCCACCCCATGCAGCCTGCTGCTCAGTTGTTTGGTCGGCCCTCACTAACCCCCCTGCCGTGTCCTGGTTGCCCCACGCAACTTGCTTGTTCAGTCATTTCGTTGTCCCTTACTAACCCCCCTGCCGGCCTAGTTGCCCCACACAGCCTGTTCGGTCATCCATACGGTTGCGATGGTTGCTTAGGCTTTTATTATTTTAGATTATAAGTAACCACATCATCTTGGAAATTAATAAGGTGTGTTTCAGACAAGACAGCAGACTATTACTTTTATACCTCAGCATTACTTTGCATTATATTCTGATGAGTCACATACATGTAACATAAGCTTAGTGTATGTTTAAGAATAAAACTGCCTCCCTTTAAAAAAATAGTCTTTTAGCCTTTTTTTCCTAAGACATTGAAGAAATACTATGCTTGAAGCCACTGCCTGACTGGCAGTCTTTTCTTACTTAGGCAGGCAATAATTCCAAGCTTGTTTTATCCTCTGAAGTATTTGGTTAAATTAAATGACCCCAACAGATTATCTACACTAGCAATCTTCACTTCCTCATCTCCTAATCAAATCACTTCACAGAAATAAATTTCACTAAAGTAACTCACACACCTAAAAGAGGTCAACTCCAACTTTTCTACCTGACAGCACTGTTAGTGTTTGGCATTGTGTCTTTCTTGAGACTTTCCTACTCTTCTGTCCATTTATTTGGTCTAGCTACTATTTAGGTTTACTGTCCTCTGCAATTCTAAATGATGGAAATTTTTCAGGACCTAGTAGTAGGCTTCTTCTCTTTCACTTTATTCAGGCCCTTCAGCTATTTTCTGAGAGAGAATTGTGACCAAATACTCTAAGGCAGTGGTTCTCAACCTTCTGACCCTTTAAATACAGTTCCTCATGTTGTGACCCAACCATAAAATTATTTTCGTTGCTACTTCATAACTGTAATGTTGCTACTGTTATGAATCATAAAGTAAATATCTGATATGCAGTCTTAGGCGACCCCTGCGAAAAGGTCGTTCAACCGCCAAAGGAGTTGCGACCCACAGGTTGAGAACCGCTGCTCTAAGGCATTCATTATATGTATGAATGAACCACTCTATGAATCTAGAATCTACTAGCTAGTTATCTTTTAGAAATGTGAAAAAACCCCAGTTCAGAAAGGCTGCTCAATAACCTCTCTACAGGCCTTTTTATCCACATTCTGGTTTTAATTTCTATCTCTATGCCAACTGATCAAATTTTTATCAGTAGCTTAGGTTTCTCTGAGCTCTAGGTACAAAGTGATATTCAAAATCTTCACTACACTAGGATGTTTCAAGGGTACCTAAACTCAATAGGTCCAAAGATAATAGTAAATATAATCTTTCCCCTAAACCCTATATTCTATCAATCTTCTCTTTATCTCAGAAATAGGCTTTAAATTTTTCTAGAATAAAATTTCCCTGGAAATGAGGACTCTGTATTTCTTTCTATTATCATATCATTAGTGTCCAAATGCTGCCTGGTATATAGGTTACAATAAAAATTTTTAATTTATTCAATAAATCTACTGGCTGCAGATTGAAAAGATATAGTTGCAAATTATTAAAAACACTTTTGAGTAAATGCTCATGAGAGAATTAAAGACTATTAACATCTTCAGTAATTTGAAAGAAGGGAATTATAACTATTATGAGTAAGAAGTGAGGGCAGAATAGCCCTAGCTAGCTAGGCTCACTGGATAGAGCGTTGGCCTGGGGACTGAAGGTCCCACGTTCAATTCCAGTGAAGGGCAGATGCCTGCGTTGCAGGCTTGATCCCCAGTAGGTGATGTGCAGAACGCAGCCAATCAATGATTCTCTCTCATCATTGATGTTTCTCTCTCTCTCTCCCTTCCTCTCTAAAATCAAATATAAATACACACACACACACACACACACACACACACGAGGCACGGAGCACAAAAATTTGTGCACTCAGGAGTAGGGGAGTCCCTCAGCCCAGCCTGTGCCCTCTCGGTCCGGGACCCCTCAGGGGTGACCACTTGCTGGCTTAGGCCTGCTCCCTGGAGGGATTGGGCCTAAGATGGCAGTCAGACATCCCTCTGGCAGCCCAGGAGCCCTCGAGGGATGTCCATTTGCCAGCGGGGAGCAGACCTAAGCTGCAGTCAGACATCCTTAGCGGTGCTGAGGAGGCAGGAGAGGCTCCCACCACCACTGCTGTACTGGCAGCCATCAGCCTGGCTTTCGGCTAAGCAGAGCTCCCACTGTGAGAGCGCACTGACCACCAGAGGGCAGCTCCTGCATTGAGCATCTGCCCCCTGGTTGTCAGTGTGTGTCATAGTGACCAGTCATCCCCAGTCTTTCTGCTGTTACGGTCAGTTTGCATATTACCCTTTTACTATATAGGATAGAGGCCTGGTGCACGGGTGGGGCCGGCTGGTTTGCCCTGAAGGGTGTCCCAGATCAGGGGCAGCGGGCCACACCCCCTTCAGGGTGGGGGTCCCCACTGGGGTGCCTGGTTGGTCTGGGTAAGGGCCTGAGAGCCGTTTTCAGGCTGGAGGGCAACTTAAGCTCCCAGCCTCTCCTTTCTTTTTTTTATTCTGGGACTTATTTACCTTCTATAGCTGTCACTGGAGCTGAGAGCCGGCTCCAGCTCTGAGGCTGCGGCTGGCTGAAAGCAGGTATCTGGGTTTGTTTAGCTTCTATAATTGAAACATTGTGGCTTTCAGGCTCAGAGCTGGATCGCGGCAGGCAGGGAACCTTGGCTTCCTCCATCACTGGAGCAAGCAAACCTCCTGCTCGCTTCAGCTGCGTGGCTGCTGGCCGTCATCTTTGTTGGCAGTTAATTTGCATCTCCTGCTGATTAGCCAATGGGGAGCGTAGCAGAGGTATCGTCAATTACCATGTTTGTCTATTATTAGATAGGATATATATATGTATGTGTGTGTGAGTGTGTCTGTGTGTGTGTGTATGTGTGTGTGTGTATGAAGTGAGGGCAGAATAAGAAATTTACAAAAAACTGGACTTCAGAAAAACAACAAAGAGACTTCCAGAGTTCTCTGAACAGAGTAAGAAATACCTTAGGGAGGAATGATAATCTTGCTAATGAGAAAGTGCTATATGCTTCTAGCTGCACATCTTAGATGACACTCTTCTCTGTGCCAAAAAAACAAAGAAGCATACAATATGATCTATTTCTTCAAAAAGTATATAATCTAGTTATGTAAAAAGGTAAAAAATTTAAGAAAATGATGCCAAAAGAGATGCCTCATGATTTCAGAGTTTCTACCAAATTAGGAAAATTTATATATTTTTTTACGTTCTAAATACATGTCAAATTATACCTGCATATCAAATTCAGATATATAATTTTAGGTTAACCCAAAATAAATTCACAAATTAAAAAAATGAAGAATGTCCCTTACCATTAAAACAGTTTTGGAGGAATCACTGGGATATCTGAGACTGAATACTCCCAAAGCTCCCAAAAAACAAAAGAAAGTAAATGTGGCAACATTTCGAATATCTAGAAATGACTCTATAAGTGGTATTGTTCCCATGGTCCAGTCACAGCAGAGATCTGAAGGATTTAATAGAAGCCAAGCATTGACAGGAAGGAGGTAGTTGAAAGTTAGCTGCCTCGTAGGAGTTGGGCTTACAGCAGCTGGGTTATCAAATCTGTATAAAGAACAACAACAACAAAAAAGTTATTCAAACTAAACCACTTTCTAAACATAAAATTAATATATAACTAAAGCACTAAATAATAATAAAAGCAATAAAACAGAAGACATAAGTATTTTTTATGAATACCTCAGATTTCTGCCAGAAGTTAAAGTGTTTAATCTTTATGGAATGTAATTAAAGGGCAAGAAGGTTATTTATTTCTAGTTTTTTTTTATTAGAATAATTCATTCAGAAATGCATACTACAATATTATGATACTATAGAAGCACTATTTTTAAATTATGACCTTTGATTAAAAATAGTAAGAAAAGTTGGGTCAGATTAATTATCGCATGTGATGTATGAATGCTCCTGGAAAGTTTCTTTCAGCACTAAATGCTAAAAAATAACACCCCTAGAAAAAATTACTGTTTTTCTCGTCTTAGGCAGAGACCCTATATCACTTATGAGCTTTTCGTGTATGTTTAGACTTCTATAATGCTAAAAACCAAATTTTCAGCACAGAGTACTAACTATATAGGACTATGTAACATTTTATTTGTGTTCTACTTTTTCTCCTAGTATCCTATCTAATAAAAGAGAAACTTGGTAATTAGCCGTACATCCGCTACCCTTCCCATTGGCTAATCAGGGCGATATGCAAATTAACTGCAGCCAAGATGGCGGCAGGCAGCCAGGCAGCTGAAGCGGAACATGAGGCTTGCTTGCTTCAGTGACAGAGGACTACAACGTTCCCCGCCTACCAATGCCGGCCTCTGAGCTTACAGTTTGAAACATTGTTACAAATATAGAAGCTAAACAAACCCCCAGAAACCTGCTTTCAGCCAGCGGGATCTCAGAGCTGGATTTGAAACAGTGTTTCGATTATAGAACCCAAACAAACCAGATACCTGCTTTCAGCAGCAGAGGCCTCAGAGCTGGACTCAAGCCTCAGAGCTAAAGCTGGCC